ATTCTGATCTCTTGCTGAAACTTCATAATGGCATCCACAATGTGCTGATCTTCTGATCCATGCCATGCGGATAGAGCCCAGGCGGGAAAGAATTTGATCCCAGACTAGGAACTCAGACTCGCCAGCGCTGCTCAAGGCGCGGAAGAGGCCGAGACTGGCTGAGGTCTTTTGGTATCCAGAAGTCGCTAGAGCGCTGGCATCAGCGACGAGGCCGACCCTGTCCTGCACCGTCAACTTGTCAGCGGCGTTGCCGAGCTTTTCGAGGCGGTCACTGGTGTATTGCGTGCGGTAGAAACCGGCGGAGTTGGCGTTGATCTTGAAGAACTCGCCAGCCTCGCCGAGCTTGAAGCTCGAGTCCCGGCTCTTCAAGGTCAGCTCGCCATCCACGCCGTCTTTGGTGCGTAGGTTGAGGAACACAGGGTAGAGGACCTGATCATCCTCGGGCTTGACATCGCCAGTCGTGAGGAATCGGTGTTGCTCAAGACGAACGTCACTTCCGTTCTCGGTGACTGATACAACAGGGTAGCCGACATGCTTGGTCCAGGGGCCCATGATGGTAGCAACATCCTTGCCGCTCACCTCACTCAGGGCCTCCCACAGCTGCTCTGTGCTGGCGTTGCCATACATGTGACGCCTCAAGTATTTGCGCACGCCCTCCATGAAGACCTCCTCGCCGAGGTAATCGGACAGCATGTGGACAACGCAAGAGCCTTTGGCATAGCTGATGCTGTCGAAGATCTGGTTGATCTCCTCTGGGCGGCTGACTGGTACTTCGATAGGGTGGCTGCTACGGAGACCATCGAGCGACAAAGCCGACTGCAGATCCTCGGATACGAAGGATTCCTTGAGCTTCCACTCAGGGTGAAGGGCATTGAGGGAGTAGCGAGCACCGAACTCGGCCCAGCCCTCGTTCAGCCAGAGAGACTGCCATTCCTTCATCGTCACCAGGTTACCGAACCACTGGTGCGCCAGCTCGTGCAGAATGACCGAAGACACTCGCTCCTTGACCACGGCACCGCTGGTCTTGTCGTTGAACAAGACCTCAACAGTGCGGTAGGTGATGAGACCCCAGTTCTCCATGGCGCCCGCCGCGAAGTCAGGCATGGCAACCTGATCGAGCTTGGGCAGCGGATACTCGATCCCGAATTCCTTCTCGTAGAACTCCAGACCCTTGGCCGCAATATCAAGGGCATAGCGACCATGTTCAATGTCCTCGGATGGCGGCGCGTAAACCCGAATGGGCACCCTGAAGGCTGTCGTCTCGATATAGTTCAGCTCGCCAACGATGAAGGCGATGAGGTAGGTGGACATCAGGGGCGATTTGTTGAACTTGACTGCCTTCTTGCCATTGTGGGCATCCGTCTCCTCGGCCACGTCCATGTTGGAGAGGCAGGTGAGGTTCTTGTCGGCAATCAGCGTGACGGTAAACTCGGCCTTGAGGGCAGGCTCGTCGAAGCAGGGGAACGCTCGGCGACAGTCGGTGGCCTCCATCTGGCTGGTTGCGATAATGCCCGTGGAGCCGTCGGCCTTCTTGTAGGTGGAACGATAGAAACCGGCCATCTTGTCATTTAATTCACCCTCAAACTTGATTTCGATCTGGCCTTTCGTGCCCTGAGACACAGTCTTCTTGAGTTCAAACGTGCTGGTCTGCCTGTCCTCATTATGGCTTATGTCTGCGCTACTCAGGGTCGTCGCCTGTCCGTCCAAGACCACCGCAACATGCTTAATGTCGATGTCGAGGGCGTGCAGAGTGATGCTGCTGGAGTCTTCGGCGAAGTCCACATCAATCTTGACAAGACCGTCAAATCGGAACGTCTCAAAGTTCGGTTCCAGCGTCACGTCGTAGTGACGAGGGACAATGTTGGTAGGCAACAGACCGCGGTCGGTCGGGGCCTGGGTTGTGGAAGTGCCATCGGCATCAGCGAAGCGGCACATGTTGCGCTTGTAGGAGCACTGGCGCGCGGGCAGACTGCGGAATGGGTTTTGGCGGGGGAGGTTGCGAGCTGGACGGGGAGCTCGAGGGGTCGTTCGGGAAGGGAAGGAGCTAGAGTATCGGCCCAGGGAGAAGCTGCGCGGAAAGCAATCGAGTCAGCTTTTTATCGACCTGTCAAGAGGGGCAAGGTTCAAGCTCGGAAGCTTACATCTGAGGTGAATTGGCTGTTTGGAAGGAAAGCGTAAACGTCGTAAGACTGTCCCGGCTGGCGAGAAGACCGTAGATATATGGACATTGGGATAGAGGGACAAGAACGAGGGGCAAGAGCACGAGGAGACTATGGCTGTAGCTGGCAGTCGGCCAGGCGCGAAGGCGGGGGGTTGAGGGGCAGAGCTGCAGAGTGGCAGGGGGCCGAGGGGTCGGGGGGTCGGGGGCAGGGGTAGTCTCGAAAGGAGGGGCAACAGCAGCTGCAAGCAAGCAAACATGCACCTGTCCAAGGCCGGGAGGTACTCGGCAGGTTACTAGCTTTCGGGGGTCCTGAATGCGCCGTTGGGGGAAGCTCCTATCTGCACATTCTTTCAGCGCAAAAAACCCGACACTGGTGCTGCCTTAGGCTGCCGATTTCACCCAGATTGTCCCCGGGCCCACTCTGGCCCGCCCCTGGCCGCCGTGCCATCGTACAGCTTCGGCATCGGTCACCACTCATAATTGTGCGGCGTCAGTGAGTCTCTTTTTCGCACAGCCGGTCTACAGCATAAGAACACTCATCTCCTACCGAAGCTGTTCAAACTGGCCAGGATCTGGCTCCAGAAGCTCTCAATTTGGCAATATGTCGTTTCCCAGCAGTCGCTTGCGTTCCTCGTGGGATGTCCGAACCCTGACAGGCGAGCCATATGCAGCCATTCATGTCCGCAGCCTCCAAACCGTCGTTCGGGCTGGCACCGACGCCTGGGGGCGGACCGGCAAAGATCAACCAGCTCTGGTCACCGCCGAGGTTTCCCTGGCCAAGCCCTTCCATGTTGCCGCCAGCAGCGACACTGTCAGCGAGGACACTGTTCACTATGGGCTCCTGGCCAAAGCTGTCCTGGCAAGTCTGGGCCGCCTGGGAGCCCACAGCGAAGGGGCGAGCCGCATCACCATCAACGATCTCGTCGAACACTTGGGGAATGATGTCGTCTATCCTGGCGAAAGCTCGGATGCCAACCCGCCACGAAGGATATTGCGTGACCCCGCCAAGGTGCGGTACGCCAGTCTAACTTTAGCCCTCCCCAAGGCCTCTCTGCTCGGCGAGGGCGTGAGTCTCACTCACTCAATCGCCTATCCGGATGGTTCAGAGGAGACTGCCTATAAAGCCTGCTGTCTGACATTTCACCGACTCCGCGTTCCTACCTTGATAGGGGTGAACGACAACGAGCGAACGGCCAAGCAAGTCGTCGTGGCTGACATCGACATTGACCAGTTTGTCTGCCAGGCTGATGTATATACGGGTATTGAAGCCGTCATTGTCAAGGTAACCCCTCTACATGGCCCTTTTTGAGGTAGACACAACACTGAACAATCCTACAGACAATGGAAGAGTCTTCGTTTGAGACTCTCGAGGCTCTCGCCGCCACTCTCGCCGCACAGCTCTTCAAGCACCTAACCTCGTTTGCGTGTAGCTCAGCTCCAGAAAAGTGCTGGCAGTTGAAGATCGGCCTCGAAAAGCCAACTGCCATCCCCATGGCCCAGGCTTCTCGCGTGGAATACAGGGTCAGCTGCAACGAGCTCTAATCCACACCATTTTCTTTCCTACTGCTGTCTCGTCAGAACAGACAACGGGATGTCGCCACCGGTGACTTGCTGGATGAAGCCCTCCGGCGGGTCAAAGAGCATGACGTGAAAATGCTCGACTGCATGGATGGATTTGAGACTACTCCAATTGCGGAACCAAATGACCTGTGCGCCACAAACATTAGCATGGCGCCCTTTGTGCCATGTCGGTGCCCACGGCGAAGGGCGACTTACCGTATCATCTGGCATATGAGCGCGAAACGCTTCATTCACGTACCCATCGACTTTTCTCCTCGTCTCATCGCTCAAGTCGCCCGTCTCTGGATCCTCTTCCAAGTCAAACTTTGTCCACACGATCAAGTGCTTGATCCGTGGGTCAATTCCATACGGCCAGTCGTTGTGCAGCACTTTAAGGTCCTCTCCATACTCAAATGGTCTGCCTCTTGGTATGATGGGTGCCTGCCAGCCCAACCTGTACTTCAGAACAAAGTTCATCACGCTGCCATGTTCTTGCTTCAGATCGTAGATGAAGACCCTGTACTGGCGTAAATCGGACGGCACACGACGGAAGTGCTCGAGGTGATTTGTCGCCGTCAGGTGCCGCACCTCGGCCCAAGATTGCGCTTGGTAATCGGCATCGGGCGTGCTCAGGATGCCAATGTCTTTATCATCAAGTTTGAGCAGCGCTGCCGGGCATTCTTCTGTTCTCGCACTGGGTTCGACATTGACTTGCCAATATGGCAATGGCGATTCGATGACAACCATTGGGCCGTTGGATCGTAGCTGAGGCATGGCGGGCTATCAAGTGTTGCCTCGTCGCCTCGGAGACTTCTTGGGGACAGGGTGTCGGTCGACTCCAGCAGTATGCGACCATTCAGTGGCCAGATGAACGACTAGCGACCTCCGCAAGAATGAATCAATATCGTGCTAGATGAGATTGGCTGGTCCAGCGACGTGATTGCACAGGTCGAAGTCGAAGGATGTTGCAGTGAAGTGGATTTTAGATGAATATTAAATGATGTGCATCAACTGCCCATTTTGACATGTTAAATTGAGGCAATCAAATGCCGAATTTGGTCGTTGCATTCCTTGTCAAGGCTGGCCCGACCGGGTGCGTGCTGCGACCGGGTTCATAGAGGAGGCATGTCGGTGAAGCGCGGGCCTTATCAGTCTCACCCGATCCGGCTGACCACGTGCAACATCGGAGCTGAAGCGGAACACGTCTCGGCTCCCATACTCTTCGTCACGATGCTTGGCAGCCCGTATAAGGGAACGGCCAAGCTGGTAATTGTACGACATGCAAAGAAACGTCAACTTGTCATTAGATGCAATCAGTCCACATGTGAAGTTTCAAATGACGCTGCGTTTTGCCTATTAAATGCCAAGTAATGTCTGCATCATGGTGACCAAGCTCTCCACAAACGGATGCGCGTGGGAACCCACACGGGAACCTATCAGCTGTCCACAAGAGTAGCAACCCAAGCCAGAAGTCCGACTTGCGTAAGTATCCCCAATCGAAAAGCAAACTCAGAGGTGAAAACAAACATTCTAGTGCTCCAGCAGACGCAAGCTTCCCTGGACAACCACGTTCTCGAGGATAGATCCGGGAGGGATGTCAATGGTGCTGCCCTCGGTCGCCACAATAATGACGGTGCCCTTCAGAGTCACTCCACGACCGAGATTTACGCCACCAGTGATGGTCAGATGGTCGAGCTCGATGATCTTAGGGATTGAAGGAATATGCTTCTGGAAGTCAGAGACCTTCTTGAAGTCGCTGCCCAGCTTGATGAGGGGAGCGTCGCCAAAACGGGACGAGCTCATTTGGAGCTGGCCGTGCTTGACGGTGTAAAGATCAGACTTGACGAGCATCAGGTCAGAGCACGTCTTGACGGGCAGGAAGCGCCTGCGGGGCACATTGACGCCGTGCGCGTTGTTGAAGTGGCGAATAGCAGCGCCCACAGCTGTCTCGAGCTGGATGATGGAGATGTCCCGACTCGCCCTTCTTATCACCAGGGAATGGTCTTTCCGTTGGGGATGATCTCCCATCTCAAGCTCGTCGTTCTCGACAACACGCTTTAATGGCCTTGAGGTTCAAACCAGATGTTGTTTGTGGTTGAAGTACTTGAACTTCTTGATCGACTTGAACTCGTTAACGTGCTCCTTGGGGACCTGGGCGATTTCGAGCAGACGAGACGTGCCTCTCGTAGTCAATGATGGTACCACCCTTAACATCAGCCTTGTCTTGTGGTCAGCTCCATGATGTACTCAGACTCAGTCTGACATGTGCTGCAGATACGGAGGTCACGACGCGCCAGTTGTCGACATTAGAGAGAGACATCTCGATACCGCGCTCATGAGCTGTCGAGGATGCCAGAGTTGTAGAGGGACTCGAAGCCATCACCGTGGCCCGGAGGTACCATTCGGAGATGGAAGACTCGAACTTCTTGGGGACGGGCAGGAGGGAGTCCTTCAAGATACGGGGGTAACGGGACTGGTTGAAGGTGAGGATGTCAACGTTGTGACCTTCGTACTTCTTGATAATAGCGGCGGTATCATCGTTGGTGTTGAACGAGTTCATCAGAATAAAGGGCACATTGACGTTGTACGTGCGGTTCAGGTACTCGATCTGACGGACGGAAAGGTCGAGGAAGGACATGCCGTCGCGAACCTCAATGACCGACTTGGGACCGACACAGCCCATCGAGGTACCGAGACCACCGTTGAGCTTGAGGACGGCCAGCTTGTCGAGGAACTGGACGGCCTCCGTATTGGCGAGATCTTCGTAATCGACAACCTGGCCCTGGGCGGGAGGGGCGATGCGGTCCCAGTCGCTATAATACGAATCAGCAAATAGTTCTATATTTCAGGGCACTGACATAAGCGACGGGTGGCTTACACAGCGTTGCCCTTGGCCTTGTCGTTCAGGTAGCGACGGAAGAGGGCGAAGAAGTTGTCCATCTCCGTGTCAAACAGCTACAGTGCAACATTGGTTAGCGTGCCAATCATCGTGACTGCGAGCTTGGTCGACTAACCTTCTTCTGCTCAGGGTCCTCCACGGACTCAGCAAGCTGGGTGAGCGCATTGCGCATCTGGGCAGCGGCGACATTGGTCGAAGTGTTCTCGAAAGCCTGGCGGGCGAGTTAGCAACAGAATCGCAGCAGTGCGGTCAGTCTGCCTGATACAGAAGAATCGACTGGGCCCTGGTGAGCTTTTTGCGGCTGGCCACGCGGCTGGCCACGAGACAACGCACAAATGTACACGCACGCAATCTCGCGAATCAAACGGTAACTCGCAGAAGAGGGAAAAGGCTGCCTCGGGGCGATTGAAGCGTGCATTGCCCAAAACTGGACGTCGTTCGAGAGATCGGGAAACTTGGAGGGAACGGAAAGAGGCAGCTACTCACCATGTGCGACCTCGTCTTGCCGTGGTGGCGCGAGGTGAACTCCTGCTCGTTGCCGGAATCCTTGCCGCCATTGCCAGCACCAGCAAGGGGTGACAGGTGGGAAGGCAGCGCGCTCTTAATTGCGGAAGCCATTTTTCAAGGATGTGTCGTATGTATCGTTGAAATGAACCGTCTGGGGAGCTGTGATGGACGAAGAACCTGGCGAGCAAAGTGACGGGGCCAGAAATACGAAAGTCTCGTTGAGGTTGAGAGGAATTGGGGGAGAAAGTAGGAGGGATGGCGGGGTTCGCAGAAGCTCGAGTCCTTAGTTGTTGCTGGGCTGCCTGTGCCTGACGTAATTGGACGTGGTAAGCTTGGGAGGCACAACGAGTACGGGCAACATGCTCCTGCCATCTGCATCCTGACGCTTGCCCCGAGCCTGTCCGCCGCTCACAGTTCGTAGGAACTTGCGCCGCGGCCCATTGGCAGGCAGGTAGGCAGTCCGCATTACAGATTGTCTTCAGAGCGTGATCGGCGGAGCCGTCCACAGGAAAGATGGGTCTGATCCATGCTACTGGCTGACTGTGTTTGCGGAGCTGGTGCAAACGTACGGGGGAACGAATTGATGTGTGAACCAGAAAGAACATGGGGAAGGGGAAACGGCTCCAACAGCATAGGGGGGGGTAGGCCGGGTAGTTTTATGGTTTATCACAAGCTGGACAACCTAGCAGCAGGGAAGCTCAGGAGGCACCGGCTTTCTTGGTCAAGTAACTATTCAACCTGGCAGCATGGATCAGACAGATCCTCTATCACTGTGGGAACTGGAACTGCCTTGCCAATGTCCAATTTCCTACATCCACGCTGCTCTGGGCCCCCCAGGACCTCCACCCCCCACCTCCATCGAGATTCCGCGGTCCCACCTGCTGCGCGGCTACGGGGTTCTAAGGAGAAACAAAAAGAGAGAAAAAATCACCAGAATAATGCCTCTCCTCCATGCAAGACTTGCGTTCTCGCTGAGCATTCAACAGGTGCCGTAAACATATGGTGGCGCTGCCAGGCTGCAGCTTCTCGCCCCCCTTCCCATGCCCTACAGGTACTCAACCCCCCACCTTCCCAGGCATTGGCCGCCAACCGCCACAAGAGCGAGCAATTCCCCCTCCATTGCCCCCCGCTGCCCTCCATCAGCCTTTTGTCCATCGCTCAAATCCGATGGTCTGTCCCGTCAGCTCAGGGAGGACATCGTTCCGGGCCTTTGCTGCAACAACCCACCCTGAATTTTCCGAATATATCTCGTCACACTTTCGCTTCCGCTGAAATGCCCCCCCCCCTTCAACACGAGAAACGAGAAACGAAACGAGAGGCGGCCTTTTTGTGATTTTCCCTACCCAGACCACACCCCCCCCTCCTTCCCGTGTCGTCTGGAAGCTAGTGACAAGAAGAGAACCGGGCGAAAGCTATGGCCACTCCTCATTCCTCACGCAATTTGCTGACCCGTTCCAACACGGGCCTCAGGTGCTACAGTCTAGATTGGCTGCTTCGGCTGTCTTATCATGAGTGGCGGTTCACTAGGTCTAGAACTGGTGCTGTCATATAGGAGAGCTTTTTTTGGTCGAATGACGTCTCGCCATATCCCCCATGTGCCATTGCATTTGGCTCTTGGGTTCGGTGCGTTGTGGTTTGTATAAAGGCCGCAATGTCACAGCAAAACTCCGACTGTGGATATCCATGCTACGCTTATTGTTTGTCGTCGTCTCGTTATGCTGATAGAATTGAGACACTCAGCTGACGTGTGTAGCACAAATATCACTGATTCCAGGACGCCACTTTATGAGCTCGCTAATTTTGCACAGTAGGATTCAAGTTACGCTACTGATTTTTTTTAAAGCTTCCATCAACCTCGTACATTGACTCCTCCCTTGGGTATCATTTATCAAGTCAAAAAAAAACGCCATTCCCCATATGGGTGGTTGATCCTGTGCCGTGTAATCACTTCTTCTTGCCCATCTTCTCCGTACAAACTGGACAATACCAGGTCCCATTGGGCTCGCTCTTGAGACCAACGCAGGACCAATGGAACCACTCATAGGGACAGTCGTCGTTGTCGCAAGCCACCATGTCGCCGAAACTAACATTCTGACATGTGCAGTATTTCTTGTCATCTCCAGCATCATCGTCGTCCGCCTCACCCATGCTCTCGTCGCCATCTCCATCTTTGCCTTCTCGGTTGGGTGTACCGCTGGCTCGGTCCAGTCGCCGCTCATCGCCATCGTCCATACTTGCACTCTCCGCTTCCGACAACTCACTCTCTGCCGTAGACGCCGGCGAATTTCTGTTGCCAGACTTTTTCACACGTGACAGTGACGACTTCGGTGCCTTTTTCCGATTGACTCCGTTCGGAGTGCCCTTGCGCCCCAGGCCTGACACGCTCAGCGCTTTTTGAGAGGCGGACCGGGGACCAGCGCTGCCGGCACGAACAGTGGCGGCGGCCGTCCCTGGTCCCGCAGAGCCCTTTGGAGTCCCGGGACCTAGGGATGAGTGTCTGGCTAGTGCGCTGGACGCTGAAGGTAGATTGCCCAGTCCAGAGTTGGCTCGAGGTCCACGCTTCGGTGCCCCACTCCCCGGGCCGGCGGAAGTCTCGCGTGCCTGTCGATTGAGAATCATACTCGCAGCCGGCGTTGCCGGTGCGGAAGCCGCATGTTGTTGTGCCTGAGCGGTTCGGACTTGAGGGTTGGTGGCGCGTGCGGCGGTCGGGGTGGCGGAGTTGACTAAAGGCCCAAGAGGCGTAGCATTCACGGCCGCGGTCGCGGAGGGGGTGGCTGCTGGGTTTGACGGCACGCGCGGACGGCGCAGAGTGTTTTGCAGCACTCGGCCTCAGGAGAGAGGGGCATTCGTCGGGGTCATTAAAACCCGGCTCGGCGCGATCGTAGAGTAGCTGATGTGCTGGTCGAGGTTTCGTAAATGTTTGTCCATGTTGGCCTGTAGTCGCTGCGTCAAGTTGATCTTTTCGGTTGCCAGCCTGTCCGCGCGCACAAAGTTGTCGCGGATTTGCGATCTCAGGCTTTCCTCCTTCGGGTTGACCTCATGGCTGCCTTGAGCCTTGATCCATTTTTGTATCTTGCCGTCACGGTCGTCAACAAGCTTGACACATTCCTGGTATTGCCTGTCCTTGTCGGCAATCTCGTCTTGCATGAAGCGGATCTCCTCGGGGAGGTTCTGGACGCGGTTGATCCAGTCATCGAGGACGATAGCTGGGTCGAGGGCCTCGGCCGCCGGCATCTTCCTGACCCAGTCGATCGACAGATCGTCTCTAGGCATCGGGTTAACGGAGGGGCTGCGCCCCGATGTTCAGTGGAAGCAGATGCGACGCGAGAAGCAGGCTCGATGGGTGGCAGCAGATGGGCGCGGGGAAATCCTCGCTGGGCCAGGGAGAGCGACGTGGACGGGAGGCAGAAGAAGCAGACTGGGTGCGGTAGTGGCAGTGATGGTGTTTGAAAGACGTGGCAAGGAGAGGCGACAGAAGAGGCTGTAAGAGGACGGATGGGAATTGTGATGGGGTACGCGAACGATACCGGGGATGGCGCGCCAGAGGCAAGATGGAGTGTGCAGATGTGGAGGTGGGAGGCCAGCGTCCTATGCAAATGGCAAGTGACAATTGTGACTTGGCTCACCTGTGGGAAAGGGGGGAAAGGGTGGTGATGATAAGAAAATATGGAGGCTGGGAATAGAGTCGGCGTGTTATGATGCGCTTGCTCTCGTACAACGGTTCTCTTGATACGAGCGTTGGGAGAGCGAAGATGTGTCGTAGTCGCCTGGGACCTGGCGTGTGAGGATGGAAAGACTGGAGGTCGCGGACCAGAGGTGACAAGGGAAATTTCAGCCTCCCCAGTTTGCCCCTCAATGACAGCAAGATGGTTGGTCGCTCAGGTTCATCGAGTGACTTAGGAAATTGGTAGCCTGTATCGGCTGCTACATGTGCACACATGGTAAACCGCGCCGCTAAGGAGTAACGAGCTCTCAGAGGAACTTGGATCCAATGTCGTCCGACCCACTCGGAAGGCACGCCCATTTTGCAGGGCCCTCTTCCAGGTCTGGGCAGCGGGAGACCATACCGACAGTCAGCAAGATTAAGGTACATGAAGCCACGAAGATGTACCATGTATCCAGTGGACCCAAGTACCTAAGCGCACGAGCTAAGTACCTGCCGCGCCTGCGTCCGTGGATCTCTGTAGGTGATTTGTCTTCGACATCTTCAACACGACAACGTTGTCACGATACTTGCGACTCAGCTCGGCAAATGATGCGCCTCTGTATAGCCAGTGGATCAACGTACTTCTCATTGTGCTGGCGGTGACGTCTTGAACCTCCCCCTTACAAATCACGACTTCAGGTCCTCGCGTCCTCCTGCACGTTCCACATCTTAACCTTGTCTCATCATCTAACCTCAGCTCGCCCACACGTGAGTCTCGACAGTTTGGGTGACAGGCGCCGCTCGCCTTGCCGCCATCATGTCCAATGTCACACCGCCTTACAGGTTCCGCTCGAAACCAAATTACCTCCCACATACAATAGGAACGGATCCTATCGTCGAGGAATACAGCGTCCCCCTTGGACGGCCCAGCGATGAGGACAATGCCAAATACTTTGGTAAATGCAAGCGGTATGCACAGGAAATGGGCGTCACGAGGCCAAAGGGATATAATGTCTCCTTTCACGTCAATCCGGAGATGGAGAAGCATCACTTCGGCCAGACCCATCCGATGAAGCCCTGGCGTCTGACCTTGTCGAAAAGTTTGGTCTTCTCCTACGGCATGAATTTTGCCATGGACAACTACACATCGAGAGCTGCAACCTTTGAGGAGCTCAACAGCTTTCATTCCAAGGACTACCTCGACTTTCTGGGAACAGTCATGCCCGAAGCGCAGCCCCGAGACATTGAGAACCCCACGCCGGAGCTCATGTTCAACCTTGGTGGCTCCGACTGTCCCTTGTTCGAGGGCCTCTACGACTACTGCTCCATGTCCGGCGGGTGTTCCCTGGACGCGGCACGCAAGATCTGCTCGAAGCAGTCTGACATTGCAATAGCCTGGGGCGGTGGGCTTCACCATGCCAAGAAGTCAGAAGCCTCCGGTTTCTGTTAGTGGG